AAGACAGTCACCACAAAACTGAATATATATATATATATATATATATATATATATAATTTATATGTGCATTTTCAATGTGTGGCTAGTCACTATAATTTTATCTGACTCACTAGTTTTTAATCTTTTTATTTATTACAGTTTATTTATTTGTTTATACCCCATACACAGCATGTGCTGTGTGTGGGGGTATGCATGCATGTGAGTATGTAGGCATACCTCTATACGCAGATGTGGAGGCCAGAGCTAGAGTCAGGTGTCTTCCTTTGTCACTCTCTGCCTTATTGTCTTAAGACAGGGTCTCTCACTGAACCAAATGTTCACCATTTCAGCTAGACTGGTTGGCAATGAAGTTCTAGTGATCTAACTGCCTGTCTCTGCCCATCAATGCTTAAGTTACAGGCACACATGTAGCCATGCATAGCTTTTTTTTTTTTATAGGGGTGTTGGGGATTCAAATTGAGGTTCTCATACTTGCAAAGCAAGTACTCTTACCCACTGAGCTACCTCCCCAGTGTGCTTCCCCTTCTCTCTTTAACTTTTCTTATTGTTTAAATATGAATTTGTATCATTGTTATAAAACAAAAAAAGACTTCAAAAAGGAATGTCAAGTCAGTTCTTGCAATAATAGCTAGAGCACTTTCACATACAGTAGCCACATGTGTTTTGAAACTTGAAATCTATTAGGCTTTGGAGAAAATCCAATAGGTATGTTATAGATCCTATTATCAATGGGATCAATAGTGCCTGGACTAACATCAGATCCATCTGGGCTATAAAAGTTAAATACTGTATTACATTTTCATTTTTAAAACTCTCTTCAATTCACTTTCATTTAACTGGGGTCAGTTCTATGTGCTGAACTAACAACTGTAGTTTGGGAATAAAGAAATTTTCTCTCAGATGGCTAAAATATTTAGATTTTAGGAGCTGGAGAGATGGTTCAGTGGTTAAGACCATTAGTTGCTCTTGCAGAGGACCAGGTTCGATTCCTAGCACCCACACAGCAGCTTACAACTGTCTGTAACTCCAGTTCCAAGGTGGGTGCACTAACACACATAGAGGCAATATACTCATACACATAAATTTTTTTTTAAAGACCAAAAATTTTATATTTTAGAGAGGCTATTGTAGGGTTTAAGAAGTAAATCTAACTAATGAGTCTTTGGCTCTTGCAAGTACGAATCCTGGGGGAGCACAGGGTTAGATGGACTTAAGGAAGAAGGCTTCCTAGTAAAAGCAGACAGAGCTAGAGACAAGTTGAATCGGATCAGAGAAAAGACATCAAAGGGTGACTTAGCAAGGAATATTACCCGAGGAAGACTTTCCCTAGCATCCATAGCTATAGCAATATAAATAAGTTACAGTCAACAGCATCTCAGCACTTGCTAGGCATGGTGGAACATGCCTTTATTCATAGCACATGGGAGGTTGAGGCAGGAAGACCCAGACTTTAAAACTTTTCCATGTGGCAAAGTACTGTCTAAATAAGTAAATAAATAAATAAATAAATAAGCCACACAAAATCTCAGTACTGAGTATCTTAAGACTGTTTTTTAAAAGTTAAGACAGTAGACCAACAAATGGGGTGACTGTGGAATAAAGAGACTCAGCAGCTATTAACAGTTGAAGCTGTGGACATAGAATCAGCTTATATGAGAGAAGGGAAAGGAAAAAATTAAAAAATTGGAAGACACCAACATTTACAACATTTTGTGGCTTTATAAAAAAGGTGCAGCTTGAGGTTGGTGCAATGGCTCAGTTAGTAAAGTGCCTGCTGCATAAGCATGAGGACCTGAGTTAGCCTCTCAAGCATCCTTGTAAAAGTTGGTGCAAATCTAAAAAAAAAAAAAAAGTTGGTGCAAATCTATAACCCAGCACTAGCAGGGTTGGGAGGTGGGGTCACAACCCTGAGCTCATTCATTGGCTATCCGGCCTAACCATTTGTTGACTTCAGGTTTAGTAAAAGAGCCTGTCTCAAAAAATAAGGTGGAACCTAAGAGATGGCTCAGTGAGTAAAAGTGCTTGCTGCCAAGTCTGACAGACCTTAGTTCGATTCCTGGGACTCAGATGGCGAAAGGAGAGAACTGACTCTTGCCAATTGTCCTCTGACTTCCACACAAGTAGAAACATGTGCACACACAATAAATGAATAAGTGTAATTTTAAAAATTTAAAAAATAAGTGGAGAGCTATGGAGAAAGATACCAGAAGTCGGTCTCTGGGTTCCACATGCACATGCATGCATATGCACATGTGAACACAAACATGCAGACACCACACACACACACACACACACACACACACACACACACATACACACATACACACATACACACACAGAGGAGCAGACAAAAGTGCCAGTGAAAGGAAGTTCAGAAAATAGGTGGAGAGAAAGAGGAATGATGTACAAGACAGGGAAGAGAAGTTTCAAAAAGAAGTCATTAGAAACATCCATTGCTATAGAAAGGACAGGATAGGACTGAGTATCCACTGCATTTGGCAATCAGCAGCTACTGAAGCCCAGCAGAGACAGGAGTGCTATATTTAAGTGGCTCATTTGTAAGCACCAGAGGCCAGAACAAGGTACTTTGCACATTCTGGATTGGACTAGACGAGGAAACAGGAAGGAGACTAAACTGATGAATGCCCAAGATAGACACCCCTGGGCATTTCCAGTTACCACTGAGGATATGGATTGTGTAGGCGGCCAGAGGTAATGTTAGGAAGGTAAGGGTAAGAGCTAATGAAATGCAGTAGGGCACCAGTGGGAGGTCTTTGACAAGAATGTGTAGATGAACGAATCCATAAATAAAGGTGGGGTGTGGTCTAGAGGCTGTTTTATAAGCATGACCAGGACAGAAAGAAGATGAAGACAGCATATGGTACTGAACACAGGATGGGTTTCAGAGAGGGACCAGGGAGGTGTGTTCAGTGCTGTCAGGTTTCAGTCAGGAGAGGGGATGTGAAGGGCTTAAGGATTTACAGACGTTTCTTTTGGGTATTAAATGCAGAAAGACAAACAGCAAAGGCAGCAGCAGAGTAGGACCAAGCAAGTAAAAACAGTTAAATGAGGACAAGCACTCGGGAAAGGGGAAGATAGTTGCACCCTTAACACAGCACTTACCCTGCCAGGGAGAGTGTGCAGTGTTATCTCGCCAGTTTTGGGATAAGGGCTGCTTTCCAGATAAAGTGATCGTGGCTCTTAAGGCTGTTCCTCTGCTACTTGATTCCTCTGGCAGTATACTACTTTTGAGAGTAGCACTTTTGTTATAGAATAAGTAAAGCAGGTAGAAAAGAAGGGAGGTGTGGGCCCTCTCGAGGGAAAAGATCTGTGAATGATCGACATTTTAGACAATTCATGCAACTGCAGAGCGAGACTGTCAGTCAGATCTTTCAATCTGCAAAAGGAAGGGGGCAGATGATCTTTCTTCTCCCTTGTCTAATAGCCTGTGAAATCATCTAGGCAACCACCTCCCAATTTTACTGAACAAAAAACGAGGCCCGCGGGATGTGTCTCACTCAAAGTAATACAACTCGTGAGTTGGAGAGACAGGCCCAGGACTGACTCCTCTCGGTTCACCGGGCCGCCAGCCGCTCCCCTACCTTCCCCGAAAGATAAAGCGCTGCGGGGGGCTGTGGCCTCACAGCCCGCGTGGGGCACTCTGGGGTTCCCGGGCGCTTTCCCGAAGCGGGCAGAGAACCGCCCGGAGGGGAGGGTCCCGGTCGGGAAGAGTTCGGGCCTCCTTTCACACACTTCCTTAGGACACCGGCCCCGTGCGCAGGGGGCGGGGCCGCGAGGGGGGGCGGCGGCGGCGGCGGCAGAGGAGGAGGAGGAGAACATGGCGGCAGCGGAGAGCGGCTGAACTGCCTGTTCTTCAGGCCCGGCGAGCGGGAGACTGACGCGGTTCACCTAGTCCCGTCCTCCGACGGTTGGAGCGCGGCCTCCGGCGTCTGGGTTGCGTGTTCACTGCTGCTCCCCGCAGGCAGAGCCTGCGTGGGGGTCGTTCTGCATCCCCCTGAGGGGGGACTCCTGCTCCCGAGGAGGGGGCCGGAGAGCCGCAGAGGCGGTGGCGACTGGCCGCCTGGGCCCCGGGGTCGGGCGTCCGGCCGGAGGAGCGGCGGAGTCCGCGGCAGCGCCGCCACGGTCGCGCGCGAGCGCAGCGCCGGGGAGCGCGGCCCAGAGGCGGTGGAGGCAGGTGAGTGGCGGCGACGGCGGGCGGGAGCCTAGCTGAGGGTGCAGCTGTCACGAGCCGCGCGGCCGCGGCGGCCCTAGGGGGCGGGGAGCAGCTGGCGCCCTCCGCCCCGGCTCTGCTTTCTCTGGACTGCATCGCCCCCTGCCACTTTCCGCGAGTTCCCGTCCTGGCCTGGCGCGGCGGCAGGGGGCGGAGGTCGCAGCTGTCACGGGCACCAGCTGGGGGCTGCGTCCGGCGGGCGACACTGCTGCGAAGCGCCGTCCCTGCGGCGGCGCACTCGGGTTGCCCTAGTTAGCAGAGTGCGAGCATCCGCGGAGGGCGCGCGGCCGCGGGCCGGGTGGGGAGCGGGCGCCCCGAGCCGCCGCGGAAAGGGGGAGCCGGAAGTAGGCGCGGGCGCCCCTCGGCCCCGACAAGCCAGCCCGGTGACCTTGGCCAGCCCGTCTGCCTCTGCGAGTCTGGTTCTCTTGGACCGCGAAATGGGGGCGAACTCGGCGTGCCTGAGTGTCCGTGCGGCTTTCGACGGCCCCTCTGCCTAGCCCCACAACACTCGCCGTTACCCACTCGGGACCAGGGCTTTGGAGGTAGGAAAGGGTGGATAAAGGAGATTCTTCTCATCGAGGCAGGGGTTTGGTCCCCTTCCTGGGGTTTTGCTGGAAGGACCTAGAAAAGGAAGCGACACACGTTGACCAGACGACTGGAAATAGCGTTAGTGGTCAGTGATGGAACTTGAGCTCTCTGTAGTCGCTTAGAAGAAAGAGACACGGAGAAACTGGACACTGGAGACCCCAGTCCTTATCACCCATCAGTGGTGGCCCGTTTTTGAGAGAGAGAGAGAGAGAGAGAGAGAGAGAGAGAGAGAGAGAGAGAGGAGAAACTACCACGAGCCAGACACTGCTTAGTCTGACGATGTTAGAGGGAGACCGAGGGATTGACAATATACCCTGTGTATGTGTGTGTGTGACAAGGACAGGCCATGGTGGTGCTGTGCCTGAAGAGTTTGGTAGGGAGGAAACTTTAGGCCGAAGGTCTGTTAGCCTTTCTTGCTCTCTTCATTATAGAGGCACTGAAAGAGGCAGGTGTCCTTGTGGAGAAGGTGACATTTTTTTTCTTCTGAAACTGAATATTTAATATGAAGTGTGATGTTAGCGACTGAGTTCTTGCGTGAATCGCATTCCCAGCACCCTGTGTGGATGACAAGAGAAATCTCTGGTGATGATTTGTGAGGCATGATGCTTTCATTTCAGTCATGAAGAAATCTTTAAGTGTCTGTGCAAGACAATGCTCCAGTGAAGGTTCGACTGTACTGTAGAGCTGTAGGGGTGGATTTCAAGGGTTAACATTCTTTGAGGTTTGTTTCTTCTAGAATTGGTTGGAGGTTATACTCAAAAAAAAAAAAAAAAAAAAAAAGAAAAAAAGAAAAAAAGTTGGCCAAAGGGGCCTCTCAGCTGGTTTCACAAAAGCTGTGATGTAGTAGGAAGGGGGTCTGATTTCTTCACACTGGGAGTAAGGTGAAAAGAAAGTATTTGCATATTTGCTTGGGTCTTTTGGCTCTTGAGCTAGAAATAGTTTTGGGCTAAAGGTAGCCATGGGATTTGATTCCATTTCATAAATAGGCATTCTTCGAGCAATTTGTCATAAAGTAGGTAAAATGGAAGTTTCTACTTAATCTCCTGTATTTTGTAAAAAGACCTAAATTGGTTCTGTGACCTAAAGTCTACAGTTTTCATTTCTTATTTGAACTTCACACTTGAGGAGCTTAGAAACAAAATAGAGAGCTGTTGATTATAAGAGGAGATATTAGGTTTGTTTTTTTGCAGATACGTTACATTAATTTATTACTTGCATTTAATCCACACTGAACTTTGGTTTATAAGGTACAAAGCTTGAATTTTACATAGTTTATAGTTAAGGTACTCCCTATTTCTGAGAAAATTTGTATGATTGTATCTATAAAATTGCTTTTTTGTGTGGTTTAAACCAAGGGAATGTTCTTAGATGTGCATTTTTGACTAAGTGGTTTTATTGAAAAAAAAAAAAGCTCAATGGAACTAATGGTGATTGTTCACTTAAACTGGGATTATGTAGACAATACATTTTTCTCCTCTTTTCTGCCAACATTTGTTTTTCTTTATCCTCAATTCCGGATTTCATTTCTAGAAATCTAGGCTGGAAACAGAAGCAGCAGTTTGTATAATCCCAAGAACTTGCTTATGCCAGGAAGCTGTAAGGGTAACATGAAGTGGGTGTGATATAAAGATACTGCTACTACTTAAGACATTTAACTGTTAAAGGAGTCTAGGGTCACATTTCATATTTTGCTGAATTTCCTGTTTTCTGTATATGTGTTAATCTTTTGGTGGGCAGAGGATTGGGTTGCTATGGTGCTGACTGGTGTATACTGTGAAAATGTTGGCAAAATGTCATGCCTCTATAGTGAAGGGCGGTAAACAAGCCTAAATAACTTAAAGATGTTATTCCCAGGATGGAATGTTCTCTGCATGTCCTCTTGATCCTGCTAATCCAATGAGCAATCTTCACCAGGACTAAATGTTGAGTAAGTGATGAGGGTAGCGTAAAGGTGCTGAAAAGTGGAGTCAGGGAGAGGATATTGGACATTCCTGGAAAATCTTTTTTCTACCAGACTATATACTAGACAGTGACTTCTGATTGTTTTTCAAGGACATCTAGCTTCATTGCTCAGTTGCCGTCATTTTCACATACCTTCTAGTATAACCCTACATTTGTTTCTTGCTTTAGTTTGCTTCCTTTTTTTTTTCTTTCTTTTTTGCCAAGGGCTCCACATTGTTTGGCTGTTGTGTTGTATATTTACGGAGTTGGTTGGCCTTAAACTATGGCCTAGCTTAGGTTCCATTTTAGGGCAGGTATGGAAGGTCAACACAAACACACAGGACTCAGTAGAATCTCTGAAGTTGTGGATATAGGAGATCCCTAGGATGCTCATTATCCTCTTGGCATTGATTTTGCCTTCTAAACATGATAATCACAGTAGTTCTCAGAGGGCCATCTATTTGTTTCTTGGCGGAGGTCCAAAATTATTGTGGCGGGTGCTCTTCTATCTTACTTGCAAATACCGGATGCTGAGATGAATATAGGATTGAATCAAATACTTGAGTTTCATGAGTTAGATGACAGAGCCCTATATCCAGTCTGCGTTGCAGAACCTTATAAAATTTCTCTCCACCTTTTATAACTCTCCTTCCCATTTGGATACACTACACTGTGGGAAAGGACTTCTTCATTGCTTTTCCCATGTTAATCAATAGTTCCGTTTGTCACTGGCCGCTAAGGGTAGGCCTCATTGTCTCTGATCTTTTTCTTACCATTGGAGGTGATGTCTAGCCATTTCATACTTTCCCTTCTCCTGTCTTTATATTTTAGTTATCATGTGTCTTTCCCTCATTGTATGGTGTCAGATCATAAAAAGGCCCAGTGGCAACTGGGTGCTATTCTTAGTTGCTTAATTTAAGAATATGCAATTTTTTCCTATAGCTTAGTCTAGTTTTGGAAATAGCTTGTGAATGTATAGTATTTGAGTTGTTACAGAGCATAGAAATGATTGTTTTATATTTTTGCTCGATTCATAACCCAATACAAGAAATGATAAAATACTGACACCAGTATGTAAGTTTAGTTCCATTAGTGCAAGAGGAAGTTGCATCCATGTTTCCTCCCTAATAACCCACCTACAGCACTGTCTTTTTATTTTTATTATATATTACAAAGGGTTGAACCCAGGGCCTTGTACATGGTAGGCAAACTATCTACCACTGTGCGCTCAATTCCTTTTCATTTTATTTTGAGACAGTTGTGCTAAATTGCCCAGACTGGTCTCAAACTTCCATTCCTCTTGCCTCAGGCTCCTGCTAGCTGGGATTACAAGATATGCCATTGTGCCCAGGTCACTAAACAGTATTTTTGAGGCTCTTTGAAGTGGCAGGCTTTTAGAAAAGCTTAGTATAGTCATAATGTTTAATGATAAGTAGCTTATACCAAAATAGAAGCTGTAGTTCCTTGAGTTGTAGAAGACTTCACTCTCACTCTAAATATATTTTTGTTCTAATTACCCTTGCTCCCCATATTTTAGTGAGGAGGGCAAGGACATTGATTTTGAGTGGCCCCAAACCCTATCATTAGAAACAGAGACCAAACTGATAAAAATAGGTGCTATAATACAGGTATAACCCCATCAGCAGAGTCAGAATTCTAGTGACACCAAGTTATCCTACTTTTAAAAGTTTGTTTGCATGTATGTGTGTGGGGGTGCCATGGCACGTAATAAAACATTAACACTAGCTAACAAATGTTTCATGTGCTAATCCATTACCAAATTCTCAGATTCTTTTCTTGATAATTCTTTGCATATTCTTTTTTTCTAGTTGCATAATTGGGTCCTCTGGTCATTTTGAATGTGGAGTAATGAGAATCACATTAACTTTGAAGGCCTGAGTTTCATCAGTAAGTGAGCTATTGGTCCGATTTCACATTTTTGTGCTAAAATCCTGTGATTTGTAGGTTTAGAGCTGTTTGCCTGCATGCATTTGCCTCTAATCCATTCTACATACAACTGCTGAAAAACATTCTTTCCTAAAATGTCATTTGATGTTTTTAGTGAAGATTCTGTCTACAAATCTTGACATTTAAATAGAATCTTATTTCCCATTCCAGAAAATTAGCTGTAGATAATGAGTAAAAATGCTTTATAAATTGTAAAGTGCTACGTAAGCGAAGACAGTAATATAATTTCCTAGAATCCAGTCTGGGGTATATATGGAGACCCTATCTTAAAAAAAAGTCACTCATAGGCATATTGCTTCTTAACTTACATGTTTGATTTTCTTTACTTGAATTATGTTTCCTTTTATGTGTTTTTGATCTTCAGAAGCAGAGTAAAAGTTGGTAAAATCTACACCTTGATTTTTCAGTCCCTTAGTATCAGTCACTGTTGATTCTATATAATCAATCCATTCACCATTCTTTCTCTT